ATGATTCGAGATAAATTAAGCGATTATCCTGATTATAATTATAAATCTTTAGATACTTTACAACATGTTTGATTACAATGCGGTTTTAAACATAAAAAACTTGACAATCGCATGGTAATTATGGAATCACGACGTATAGTTGCACTTCGGGAAGATTATTTACAACAAATTCGAGAATATCGTCAACTAAATAGGAATATAGCTCGGAATATAGTATTTCTAAACGAGACAGGACAAAATTTTTCTGGACGTCTATGGATTCTGTAAAGTTTATGAGTTAAATGTTTTTATGCGGTTTCAACTGATATCGTAACGACTAGCACCAAGCAGAGATATACCAATATGGCATACATACGGTCGATAGCCGCACGGTTTAAGGCGTCAGTCCTTTAATCGTGTGCAAATTTCTGCCCGGGTTCGATTCCCGCGGCCGGTAGACCGTAGATTAGCTATGCTTGTACGGAGGATTGGCACTCTCTGTGCAGGTATGGTAGGGTGGAAGAATGTTGGCTTGGGTGAATGTGAGAGATTGACACCGGTTGGCATTTGACCACCCCCCTAATTAATGAGGTTTTCCAGGTTTCCCTCATTCCTGCACTGAATGGTGGTTAGGGCCTACCAACATAAGTCGTTCCTGGGCGCAAATGCGGCCTGCCTAATAATAATATGCCGCCTCCTCTCCCGCACAAGTCTCCGACTTATGGGCTAATTCTCGTAATTAGAATGAGGAGTAGAGATATTATTATTATTATTATTATTATTATTATTATTATTATTATACGTATGTATTTATGTCTGGTTAATTGTACAACCTGAAACGTTTCAAATTTCAGAAAAATGACTGTATGTTGCTCAGTTTTTTGTTCATGTTGAAAAGTAACTAATTTTCATCGACTATATCTTTCAGCAACTAATCACCAAATCCGTCAAAATCATCACATATATTTGTATTAGGTATATCTGTTCTAATGCGAAAGATGCTTATTTATTTATGTCTTTCTGATAATGCTTTTAAAAATATAACAGAATTCATTATTATACCAAGACAAGAAAAATTTTATATATTAAAAAAAAAATTATTTATTCATCTGAATTATTTTTATTTTCCTCATCAAAAATATTATACGGTCTTCATGTTTCAAATAAACGAAACATAACATATATATTAATTGCGAGTTTATTTGAACTATTTTTATTTTCCTCATCAGTAATATTTTATTATTTTCATATTTCTGAAAATGAATAGGGAAACATTGGCAATGTCTGCATCTGATATGTCTGTTTAAACATTAGAATCCTGAGTTTGCCTGAACTATTTTTATTTTCCTCATCAAAAATATTCTATTTTCTTTATATTTCTGAAACGAAAACAAAGTTCCAAAAACAAACGATTTGTGCATCTGGTATCATTCTTTTCATGTTTCATTAAACGAAAATATATTACAAAATAGTTATTTCTTTATTACTTGAAAAAACTACATAATCCTTATATGTGCATATTTAGCAGTGACTTATTTTGTGTTACTTTACTTAGGCATACTGAAGGTGGGACAAGATAATCCGTAATAAACTAAATTAAACAAATAAATTCAGAGAATATATATGTAGTGAGAAATATTTTCGGTACATAAATTCCAAAGTATTAATTAAAGCTTAAGCACGTGTACATCTGATTATACCTTATTCATTACTCATAATCATTGTAAATTTAATTACATAGAAATTTTAACGTCAAGGACAGCAAATAATCTTTGTTTTAGTTGAAAATTACTGATAAGAATTAGTTATCAGTAAAAACATTTAAAAACAAATAAGTCTTCTAGGAAGTTAATTAAAATATGTAATCGATACGTTGTATCTGTTGATGGTTTTTCCCTCGATAAATAAGTAAATAGAACAGTTCATGACTTGGTAACACGCCTTTGTTTATCCATTGACATTATAGACCGGGAGATATTAGACTGAAGTTCGACGACGTCTTTCTCGTTTATGCCTCTGAGAGTACTGAAAGGTAACCCAGAGACAAGTACAATAAACTAAATTTAAAAGATGGGCTGCGGGACACCTTCGTGAAAATTCAATTTTCCTTTTCAAAAAAATAATGTGTACAGCGACGTATTTCTCACTTATGCCATGTTCGTAAGTTGAAGAGAAGTATCGATTTTATCACGAAATTTTTTTGGCATAAGTGTCGCAAGAGACCTAAATATGGAAAACTTTGTAAGAAAATGTGGAAAAACATCTTTATTTGTCTACCAATTTCTCATTAATGCCAATTAGAAATATGACATTATTATATTCGAAAAGCTCATAAAAAACATTGGCATAAGTCCTACTAAGGACTAAAGAAAATAGGGCTTTGGAAAAGCTGCGGAAAATTTTTCGTTTTGGTCAACGTTTTTCTCGTGAATAAATTAAAGCTTATTGCAAAGAAAAAAATGAAAGTATTCATTTTTTTTAAAGGGCATAAGTCCCTGGTGAGGACTATATGCTAAAAATTTTTTGAAAAGTTGTAGGAAAATTCATGAAAATTTTTACGTCTTTCTCGCTTATGCCATTTTGCATGCACGTAGGAAACTACATTATAAAGTCATATAAATGTAGGCATAAGTCCACATTGGATTTTCATGTTGTAAATTAATTTGAATTTTAATACGAGTCAGGTCGACAAAGTAGAAAAATAATAGAAAATTGCCACAATTTTCTCGTTTATGCCGTTTCGTACACGAGTAGAAAATATTACTAAAAGCCATTTTCAAGAGTGGCATGAATGCCACAAGGTACCGTCGTATGTAAAAATTTTTAAAAAGTTTATTTCATCGCCTACGCAATTTTCGAAATACTTATACTTACTTGCATTTAGCGTATTTTTAATTTTTATAAATATAAGTAATTCATGTATTTAATGAAAGTTAATAATAAACTATTTCGGCTTAAGTCCCCACATATTAGAAATGATTTTTAATTATTCTTTGAGTCATGATCAGAAAAAGAAAAATTATATAATATTGCCACAAATTTCTCGTTTGTTCGTAAATGAGTAGAGTATTTTATCACAATAGACCATACGTATTTATGAACAATATATTTAAATTTTAAAAATTAAAAATATTATATAATTTGAATTAACCGCTTCAGTGCAAGGATGATCTACTTGAATTGAGCCGACTAAGGTAGAAGAAGAAGAAGAAGAAGAAGAAATAATTAAGCTAGAATACATAGGGAAGAAACTGATTTATAACTGATTTAATATCATGTATATTGAATTTTGTTTTTTGTTTCTGGTACTTTGTACCTTAATTACTTAATTTGTACTTTTATACATTTTATTTTTATATTAAAAGATTTATTTAAGTAATAGTAATTGAATTGAAAAACCGCTGCCAACTCAATTGTCAGAATGCTTCCTCAAAGACTTTGAATTACTAATTTTTAATTATAACTAACACAAACAATAACACTTAAAATAATACAAATTTTTATTAACTTAAAATTAAAGCATATCAAAAATAAAAAGTTTTTTCGGTTTTATGATTTTTTACATTTTCAAATTTCAAACAGTTTTATCTGCAGCTCTTGATGAAAACGGATCAAAATAAAGGCCTTACTACCAGCTTTATTATAAGTTATTAAGAATTATCGTAATAAAAAATAACATGTCGAAAAATCAAACTAAACCCAATATAAAGCTTTCTCTTTTTCATGAAATTTTTTTTATTTTAAATTTTTTATTCCCTTTTATAGTTAGAAATATTCATTTTTTATATAGATATCTTCTCCGACACTTGCATTATTTATCATACATTTTTTAAATTAATTTAAGTATATCGAAAATTGCGCAGGCGAGGAAATAACCGCAATTTGTAATTTTTGACAACTTTTTAAAAAATTTTACATACGACGGTACCTTGTGGCATTCATGCCACTCTTGAAAGTGGCTTTTAATAATATTTTCTACTCGTGTACAAAACGGCATAAACGAGAAAATTGTGGCAATTTTCTATAATTTTTCTACTTTGTCGACCTGACTCATATTAAAATTCAAATTAATTTACAACATGAAAATCCAATGTGGACTTATGCCTACATTTATATGACTTTATAATGTAGTTTCCTACGTGCATGCAAAATGGCATAAGCGAGAAAGACGTAAAAATTTTCATGAATTTTCCTACAACTTTGAGACTTATGCCTTCATATTGAACCCATAGAGGAGTGATGCCTACTTGACACAGTACATTATTTATAGTAAGTATCATAAATTTTCAACGGCATAAATGAGAAAGTTATAGAATGAAAATAAAAATTTTCCGCAGCTTTTCCAAAGCTCTATTTTCTTTAGTCCTTAGTAGGACTTATGCCAATGTTTTTTATGAGCTTTTCGAATATAATAATGTCATATTTCTAATTGGCATTAATGAGAAATTGGTAGACAAATAAAGATGTTTTTCCACATTTTCTTACAAAGTTTTCCATTTTTAGGTCCCTTGCGACACTTATGCCAAAAAAATCGATACTTCTCTTCAACTTACGAACATGGCATAAGTGTGAAATACGTCGCTGTACACATTATTTTTTTGAAAAGGAAAATTGAATTTTCACAAAGGTGTCCCGCAGTCCATCTTTTAAATTTAGTTTATTGTACTTATCTCTCGGTTACCTGTCAGTACTCTGAGAGGCATAAACGAGAAAGACGTCGTCGAACTTCAGTCTAATATCTCCCGGTCTATTACTGAAAAGTTATGGAAGTTAGAGGAAGTCGTTTTGTTATCATTTAATCGGATTTGTAATGTTGTTAGTGGTATAATGTAAAATACCAAATTTGGTGTTAACGCTTTATCTACAGATAATAAAATTATAATATGAAAATTACTCTTAAGTACTTATGTAATAAACAGTTACATGATTTTTTTTAAATGGCTCTTTACATAGGCTTAAGTTATTTGTATCCCATAATAATATCTGAAGTTATTTTTTTATGTATATTTTTTTGCTTTTAGATATTCTTAAGTATCTTGACTCTTGAAACAGAATCAACTAATTTTCCCACTAGTGCCTACAATGAAGGAGCAGTGAAATGTATGAATAACTTTTCTTACGAGCATGCTGTGTGGTAAGTTACGAGTAAAAATTATAATCGTCGATCTATTCTAAAATTTGGCAGCCATACAACTGTAATGAGGTGGCCAAATTTAATGGTGTATTAGCCCAGTATAATACTACGAAATTTTTAAATAGATTTTATTGTCGCAGGTTCTTATTATCACCACAAGAATATATCTTGAAATCTTATTTTTGCTTTAATCGAAATATGACCAAAGAAATTCGAAAAACTCTATTAGTCGAAGTAGTGTTTTTATTTTGCCATTTTGTGTATTTTGATGTTTGTATTCCTGTACTACAACAGAATTTAATACTAATTTAATTTTCAATAAACAGTACCTCCTATTCTTGGTATCTTTTGTTGTTTTTAAAATCAATAGCAAAACAGAAATTAGTATAATATTTTACGTGAAGTTCAAGTTTATCTCCTATTCCAACAAAATATCTCCACCTTATTGTCGTTATCATATTAATTTACACACCATAAATTCAAATAAACATTCCTCACTTTATTTTTCATTCATATAATCATACGATATTGCTGGAATTGTTTTTGTAGAGAACTAACGACACTGGAAGTTTTGTTGATATTTGAGATAATTAACCGTAAAATTCCCATCACAATTTAAACCTTTTATAAAATTCAGTTAGCTAATATTAAATCATTTAGCTCCTGCAATAACGGTGAATGACTTTGCGTGTCAAATAGATAAAAATAATTTCTAAATTTTTTTCAAATCGTGATTACAATTTATATCGCAGTATTCATAAAAATTATATGTTTACAGGGTGTCCTAGTTTTAGTCATTAATGGAATTGTGGTAGCGGATAGAAAAGTGAAATATAATGTACTTTGTTTTGTAAACTTATTTCCAAATCTCAACCGTTTTCGAAATACAGTGTGTTAAAGATCCCCAAAAAATTTCATTACTATAAATATTCTCTAAAATAATAGAGGTGTGAATTAAATTTAACGTATGTTATATTGAGTCTCCATAAAATACTGCAATTTTACGTAACCAGTGGCGGAGGTACTAGGAAACATCTACTTTAAGAATCTCAGAATTTCAATGTTACTGAGTATTATACTTTAGAAATTCATTTGATTAGTATTGGTATGTCAAAGAAAAAAAATCTCTTCAATTTTATACTGAAAACAGATCATTTCCGAGTTATTATTATTTTTAGTCTAAAATAAACAATAGAAAAAAATTATTCAAAAACTGTTTGTTTCAAAAAGAATTTTTTAATACAAATATAATTTTAAAAAAATTGAAACAATAAAAAATCTGGAAAACTTAGTGGCCTTTAAATTTAAATTTTAATTTCTACGCCAATGTTTTTTTATTTTAACTATTAATTATATTTAGCAGTATTTTTGCAACAGAACATTGCAACAAATGTTTTTTTATGGAACGAACAGTTTTAAAATGATCATTTTTATTTATTTTGGATTAGAACATTAATAACTCGAAAATGATTTGTTTTTCATATAAAACGAGGGATACATAATTTTTTTGGAATACAATTTACAAAACATCCACTGACTTCTAAATTTTAACATTCTTAAATAATGTATTTTATGGAATCTTGATCCAATATAATTTACATCAAATTCAGTTCAAATAGGTACCTCTAGGAATAGTAAAACTATTTTTGTCTAATTTTCTAATAATTCTATCTGCTTCCGAAGTATAATAGATTAAAAATATAACAGCCTTTATAGACTATATGTATATGTGAAATGATTAGATCTTTGAAGTTAAAATTAAATATATTTTCTTACGATTTTTTTTATACACTTCAGTCAATCAATTTGTAGTTGATGTTGAGATATTACAGAAATCCATATTTTTCAATAATTCGATTTTTGTATTTGTGTAAAGATTGGGTGGAGTATAAATACCTAAGTATACAGGGTGATTCAGAACTTATCCAAAAAAAAAAATTCTGGATGTACAGGGGACCCTTACAAATACAATTTTGTAAAGAAAAAACTGATTTAAAAATACACTTCTGCACGGCACTGGAAACTGGTCCACTGTAAAACCTGACCTCGCACAATGCGACCGGTATGGCGGCGTGATAAAAACGGACATAAACTTTCGCAAGGAAAGAAATATGTAAATAGAATTTTATCGCACCTATTTTATATCGGCAAATTCAAATGCTTTTGCCTTTACTAATTATTAATGAAATTAATTTGTGTTTTTAAATAATAAAATCATTTGACATACCCGATGCTGCAACAGCAATTGTTCAAAATTTTATCCACACACGTGTAAACACATTTGGGTCCGTCTTACTCACTTTCTACGAACTAACTCAAATGATATCTTGCTTCACCATAACACAAATACTTCACCATAATACAAATGTTGTCTTGCTTCACCATAAATTAAAACGGTATCCATCAACTCTGAGTTGCTATACACGCAAGCCAGTTTTGACACTAACTACTAAAAAACTGATGTAAATAACACAGATAACAGGTAAAAACTACCGCAACGACGGATTTCAGTATTAGGAGTCACATGGCTCTCCATGCGTAATGCGAATGACGCTAGAGACTACAGTTGTCCAGCTATGTAGTGGTTTAATGTGCTATAACTTCAATAATTTTTTTCTCAGAACTATAAGGATTTTACAAATTTTTTTTTACAATATTGATTCCATTTCTCATGCCGCATCTATTTCCAATTTTTTTTTGGATAAGTTGTGAATCACCCTGTATAATTAGGGCAGGATTAGCCTATGGTGAGGCCGGGGGCGACAAGTTCTACGCACTCTTTTTGTAAAAAAAGAAAAAAAATGTTTATTATTTCCAAATAACTCTAAAACATTTTGCCAGACTTAAATTAAAGGACCCCGCACAAATCTTATGGAAATTGGGTCCCGGTCAAATTCGCTGAATTTTTGATATGTGATAGAGTTCATCATACTGGTCAATTGTCTCAATGGCCACAAAGCTCAAAAATGGATAGTTTGGCCGGTACAGAGCTTTAAAGCTCCGAATATCCTCCACGGATTTATGTATATGCGCAGTGTGTATAGACTTTTGAAATAGCCTATTTCATTTTTTTTATTATCTAGGTTTATATTTTTGAGGTTGCTGAATTCAGATCTGTTGTTAGATTTTCAAAATTGACAGTTGGCAGCTGTCAACTAGCTGTCAATTTGCTATAATAAAGCCAGAAACTTGTTTTTTTATGATTTATTTTTTTTTTTTTTTAGTTCGATAAGTTCAAAGACGATATCAAATCAATAACAATGACTATCGGCAGCTGTCATTTAGCTGTCAACAATTCTTCAAAGTCCGGTAATAAAGTCAAAAAATTATTTTTTGTTTATAACTTCAAGTTTTTTAGATAAGTGAATATAAATATGATATAAAATTATGTAGTCATCAGCTTACAGCTGTCAACAAGCTGTCAACTAACTGTCAAAATGCAATAATAGAGCAAGTAACTTATTTTTTGTGCTTAACTTTGTGGATAAGAAATCAAACATGATATAAGTTTATGACATCACTTTTGAACTCAGTGATCTAAGCAACTTAAAGCTTTTTAAAAAAAGTAACTTTTTGACTTTATTATTGCATTTTGACAGTTAGTTGACAGCTTGTTGACAGCTGTAAGCTGATGACTACATAATTTTATATCATATTTATATTCACTTATCTAAAAAACTTGAAGTTATAAACAAAAAATAATTTTTTGACTTTATTACCGGACTTTGAAGAATTGTTGACAGCTAAATGACAGCTGCCGATAGTCATTGTTATTGATTTGATATCGTCTTTGAACTTATCGAACTAAAAAAAAAGAAAGATAAAACATAAAAAAACAAGTTTTTGGCTTTATTATAGCACATTGACAGCTATTTGACAGCTGCCAACTGTCAATTTTGAAAATCTAACAACAGATCTGAATTCAGCAACCTCAAAAATATAAACCTAGATAATAAAAAAAATGAAATAGGCTATTTCAAAAGTCTATACACACTGCGCATATACATAAATCCGTGGAGGATATTCGGAGCTTTAAAGCTCTGTACCGGCCAAACTATCCATTTTTGAGCTTTGTGGCCATTGAGACAATTGACCAGTATGATGAACTCTATTACATTTCAAAAATTCAGCGAATTTGACCGGGACCCAATTTCCATAAGATTTGTGCGGGGTCCTTTGGTATATGTGTACAATTGTATTGTTATATATTGTTATATTACATTACATTTTAAGCCTAGCATAGCAAAATAAAATAAGTATATCTACACATATGGCAAAGATTTATCATAGCCAAAGATTTTCGATATACTTAAATTTGATGGAAAGTATGTGAAAAATTTCCAAAAGAAAAAAAAATCGAAAAGTACCCTTATTTGTATAATTAAAATTTAATTTGTTTAGAATAGCAAGTCATTATTTTATCTAATTTAAATTATGTATATTAATTTATTTTTTACGGGAATTTGAAGATTATTAACGTAAGAGTAAAAGTCCCAAACAAGTAAATTCCCGTGTACTGTTTACAAACTGATACCAAATAACTTTGAATCTCACTATCAAAACAAACTCGATTCTGCATAAAGTAAACAATTATTAACGTTATAAACGCTGATAACGTCTTAATTACATGATTTTTTATGCGAATGTGATAAGTAAACATCGTATTTGTTCTGGGAGTTTATTATTTCGATCACACAATCGACAAACAAAAATATTTTCGCGGCCAAACGCACGCAAATACAGTGACGGACTATATCATTTTTATGTGAATATACGTACATACAAGTAAGTACAACGCAACCTTTTTTGTGTCGGTCTGTACATTGAAAACGTAATTATTTTAATTGTAATGGATACAGTTTGCTTCATTGTGATGTAATTACGGTTTATGATGACGCGGATTTCTGTAATGGGATGCTCCTAAAATGTGTCGTTAAACTGAAAGGCAATTAAAAAAAATCTTATAAGTAGTTATGGAAAACGCTTAATAAAAAGTAGAA